GAGAACTGCGTTGCAATTCAGACATTGAACCGATCGAATTTTGCAAGCTTCGCGTGGACCTAAAAGAAAATTAGTTAAAACTGCATTGCCAAAAGTCAAAATCCCACACATTTCACCTTCAGAATAGGTATACGATAACTAGCACAATGTCAGAAAAAAAAAACTATCAACAGTTCATTCATTTAAGAACCGCTCAGAAACAATGGTGAGATTTAGTAGATCCGTTTGGCATGCGCCAGTAACAAATCAAGCATTCAAAATCTTCCCATGATTCTTTGATTCGAAGTGAATCAAAGAATTGTAAAAGATCAAACTGAGGTGAGGCAACTCCATCTATCGCTAACACTAAGCCAACTCTGCGCAATTAAAAAGCCTCGGGCTGGAACGCACCAAGCTTGCCGGTGCGATCAAGCGTTTTTGCACTACGCTTGCGATGATCAAATCGTGTCAGCACTAGCTCTTGTACTACTGTTTAACACTTGGACACATGCTGACTGTTTTGGCACATGTTTGCATATGAGTTAGGACGGCAGTGTTGCACTATGGGGCTGCGTGAATCTACGATGTGTATGATTATCAGTTTGTTGCATGAAGCCCGGTCGTTGCTCCGGTGAACAGTTGCTCATCGAGAAAAAGCAAATTTGAAGGAAGTCGAGATCCGCAAAATGTACTCGCTTGCGACAAATTTGAGTATTTCACATGGCCGCGTGCAGGTCAACTTCGCAGCTTATCCTTAAGCGAAACAGCCGTTTGAGCGCAAGCAATTGGCCTAAGCCGTGCGCAAGTGCAAACCGAAACTCCGTGGGTGTACTATTTTTCATACGTATTTTTCGTGACAAAGCTTCAACCACTGTTTACCGACCAGTTTTTGACTTGGCACAGCGCCAGCAGCAAAATTTGACGTAAACTTACGAGCGGTGTAAGTGTGAGCGACAGGTGAATTTAAAATCTTTAGTTCATACATATGCGCAGAAAATACCCCTACAATGTTTCATCATTCTATGTCGTTAGTCCCCAAAGTCACTCTTCGTCTACGAAACTTGCACATTTTTTGAGCGATCCGTAATCGCAATCTAAATGTGTATGAGCGATAATTGTAAAACGGGAGGGTAGTACACGGGGCAAGTATATGTCCCTAAAATTTCAGCCTCTCAGCTTTCCGGGTTGCTGAGTTGAAAGTGGATGATTCGCTTTCGAACACACACACACACATATACACATACGCACGCACACACATACGGACAGCCTCTCGACAATATACGTTTTTGCTCACTGTAACAGCGCTATAGCACTGTACAGCAAAAAACGCATGAAAATTGTGAACAAAACTAAAATCATAACCTGTTCAGCCTTATGTGACTTCTGACGAGATCATTTGAGCACTGGGCCGCCATTAGTGATAATTCACCGGCCATAACAGTGGCGCAAACAATTTCGGCCAATCTCGTGGAACATTCGCCAGGCACCGAAGTTGGTGGTGAACATCCTAGCATCTAAAAATTAGCCAATCTTCGTATCTAAGTATTTTCAGATTTATGAGCCGATAGATATTTGAGGACTTATGTAAAAAAAAATAACATACTTGCAGGCATGCTCGCTGAGCAGGAAGTACAGTGCCACCGCCAACTGTTCCAACTTCAAGACAACGCATACTACAGGATATATATAAATCACCTAATTCAGTTTTCTCCATCACTGTTAAACACATACTGCTTGATACAAGCTGGGCAACATCCTAAAAATTCAATCGTCAACAAAACAGGATAATCAAATACAGAAACAGAGATCCAAACAAATGAAAATGAGTAAAAATTAAGAAAATGTAAAACAAAAAACTCTCAGCCAGCGAAGTACTTCACTGCTCAGAATGAGGTGGTAACGCTCAGTACATCACGGATACCTCGGAACAACTAAAGCCGTAGTAAGTGCTTCCGTCGAGAGAACCGCTGAGCTGAAAATCCTTTCAGGAAACGGCGCAAGCATCGGAAACGGCATCAAGCTGAGAAGCAAACAATATAGCATTGGGCAAAGCAATCAGAAACATAACCAGCTACATAGCTGAAGAACCAGTCTATGAATCAGAGCTAATCCAAATACTCAAAGTTAAAATCCTCTCCGTATTCGCTCTCAGTGAGAAACAGGCACACTCGTGAAGTAGCCCGAGCGGTGGCAAATGCTAAAATAAGGTTTCTGACAGCTTTTTCTTCTAAGAGTTGCTTACAAACAAGCTGATGGCGGGTTTGACTCACTAGCATATTTAGTACCAATTTACCATCGAAACGAATTGTACAAGGATCGGTTGTCCTATCGGCAGAGTTGGGCCTTCACCCTACTACACGACAACAGTATTGCTTCACCACGCCATGGCTGCTGCATCCAAATACTATTTCAGT